CTTCAGTTTCCACGTTAGCTGGAACAGGTTTAGCCGACACCCTCGCCGACCTCTTCTTGGGCTCCTGCTTCGCCGCCGCTTCGGCCGAGCGGACCTTCCTCTTGGGCATCTTGGCGGTGCGCGGAGGCTGCGGGGCGAGGCGCGCAGGAGCTCGCGGAGCTGCACAGCTCGACCAGGCCCTTCCTCCCGCCACCAGAGCTGCTGGGACCCACGGCGGGGCCTCAGAGAAGCGTTTCATAGAAGCTTAATTATTGCTAAGCCTGGTCTTTGTGTGATATTCTAGGGCCCCAAATAAAGCAATTACAGGATGGGAAGAGATAAGATAGCCTTGGTTGTACAGAAGGACATTTTTCAAATTAAAAATTTATGGACCTGTGCTAGTCACATGCTTCATTTTGAAAGGTATGTCCAGAGGAGCTTGTGGGAAACTTGCCCTCCTGTGGGGAAGATTTAGAAACGCCAACACTTTGTGAGTTCCTCTGACAATAGGAAAGCGGCTTCTCTCTCATGTAGCCGGCACTCGGTCTCAGGAGAAAAGCCTTAGCTCCTGTGGGACGGGGCTGAAGTAAGCAAGACATCGGGTCTCCGAGAACACTCTAGAACAGCAGGGCGGCTGATCTTATCGAGGACCTGGACTCCAGTGGAGTCCCGAGGGCTAGAAACACAACAGAGCCTCACTCTGAGCCCAAACTGCAGGCCCACAGATGACCCGCAGCTGCGCTTTCTCCTCGGCTGTCCTCATGCAGGGACACCAGGCATCTGCGCGTCCCACTGCTTCCTCCCCACCTCGCTATCCCCCAGTTGAGCCTGAGGAATGGTCTCCGGGGCCGCATTCTCTCTGCAGCCTTCCAGCGTCATCTCCCAGCTTCCTCACAGTCCAGTCTCCGAAGTCCACAGGACATACCAGGAAAGTTGTTTCTGAGGCAGGAAAGGTTCACAGCCCTGGCCTTGAGACCAGTTTGTGTACCTACCAAATGTGTGCAAAGCTCCCACATCTTCGGTTCTAGCTTTAAAAAACAAAAACATCATGAAGGAAGGAGATGGACTATTGTGTTCCCAAAACCAGTGTGGCTGAGAATCAAAGGTTTAGGATTTGTCACTTCCTCTGGGTGGTGCACAACATTGATGATCCCTGCAAGAGCCCAGCACTTTCCAGATACCTATACTGCAAAGGAGTCCTGAGTTTATTTGGCTTAGACATATTTCTTGTTCTGTGGAGGATACGTTTGGCTGGGGCTAGGGGAACCAAGAAAGGAGGCTGTGATGGTTATGGCAAATCGATTAGGCTACAGGGTACCCAGATAAAACATCTTGCAAGTGTCTGCGAGCACATTTCTAATGAGATTAGCATTTGAATGGGTGCATTCAGTAAGTAGATGGCCCTCCCCAGTGTGGGTGGGTTAAGGGCCTGAGTAGAACAAGAGGTGAAGGAAGAGCCCCCCTCTTCCTGCCTCACTACTCAACAGGGATGTCTCATCTTCTCTGGCTCTGACTGGGATTTCCACCATTGACTTCCCCACTTCTCAAGTGTTTGGACTGAGAATCAACAGTTTTCCCAGGTCTCCAGACTGCAGACAGCAGATCATAAAAATCCTTGTCTTCAATGACCACATGGACAAATTCCATGTAACTCATACCCCTCCTTTCCTCTATATCCTATTGGTTCTATTTCTCTCAGAATGCTAAAACAGAGGGCTTCAGAGAAATAGCCCGGATTTCAAGGAGCTCTGGTGCTTCCATGCTGAATCCAGAGGAAAAGCTATAGTATTTGTTCCCTACCTACCCCCAACCCAGGACTCCTCACATATCAGAATGCAGGTTGAGCTACAAGACCTGAACTAGGGGAAGAGTATGTAAGATGAGTCTGTACATTAGACTAGGGTTTTTTGTTTTTTTAAAAAAATACTGTTAAGGAGACTGTATCACTTCTCACCTGATTGCCATTCCCTTAAGATCTGTAATACTTTTGGAACTTGTTTTGGATGATTGATGGGGCCCCAGGTTAAACAGCTTACTACTGTATTCTGATACTGTTTAGGAGGTTGACCTAATTTGACTTAAATTAAGTCAGTTCCTAGAAGTCACCTTGGAATACACAGGCAGAGATAAACAGCAGATATACAAAGTTGAGTGGTAGGACTAGAGCCAATTAAACTTTGAGAGGGGCTGGTGAGATGGCTCAGTGGTCTAAAGCACCTACTTAGAACAAGCTTAGTAAAGCAAAGGGATCACGGTTCAATCTCCCAGCACCACATGACAGCCAGCCCCGCCCCCAGGTGGGCTGAGCTGGCCACACACACACACACACAAATTTTAAAAAAAACAAAAACTTTGAGGAGTAAGCGCAGGGCCATACTATCAGTAAGAGCAGGGGCCATGTCTGTAGTATTTCTGGTCACACCTGCACACATCTCAGTGTCTAGCCTGTAGGGGTCACCTGGGAGGGCTCCCTGCAAGTTAGCAGACTGAATGCAAGCTCACTGCTTCCTGGAGTAGTCCAGGCATCGAGGTTATTATTATTTTTTTGGTGGAACTGGGGATTGAACTCAGGCCCCTATTCTTGCCAGGTAAGTGCTTATTCTACTGAGCTATCTCCCGACCCAAGATTACTTTATTTGGGCTGGGGAGATAGCTTGGCGGTCTAAGCGCCTGCCTGGTGAGTGCAAGGGCCTGGGTTTGATCCTGTGACAGCCCCAGAACTCCGGGTGCACCATGCTGGCTACCGAAACCAGGTGGGGTGCACACCTATGGGGAGGATCACTATGAGTTTGAACTGTGTAGCGAGACCCTGTAACAAATTAAAAAAAAAAATTAACTTTTTTAAAAGATTATTTTAGGAATAGGTCAGGCCTCATTACATTTAGTTCTTTCCAGTTCTCTCACTTGGAAGACGTCTCTTATACTTCCATTCCTTGGAGACCGAGTACAGGAAGGTGCTAGGGGCAGCTGGTACCCTGAGCAGTACTGGATATCCTTTAGGGTCAGATGGGCCCACAAAAGCTGTTGGTTAGGGGCAGAGCCAGCTGCCTCCTCAATCCAGGAGCATGGTGGTGGCAGCCCAGGTGGCCAACCAGCCCTTGAAGCTGGCCTACTGCTCCTCTGCTCCTGCCACCTCTCCAGCTCCAGGGACACATGGTGCAGTAGGAGCTGCAGGAATGTACCTAAAGCGTGGGGTCTCCTTTCCTCTTACTGAATTTGTTCTCCTAAAAAATCCACATTTTCAATGAAAATGTCTAAATCAGGTGACAAATCCTACTGAGATGAGTCTTTTACCAAGCAGAGGTTTTTTGTGAAGACACCAAAGGAGCCTTCTGTAGTCAAATGAGTGTAGGGTAATTGAGGAAGAGGACCCAGACGGCAGTGGGCAGGACAGGAAGTACCGCTGCGTCTCCCCCAGCACTGCCCTGTGTAATCTATCTTTCTGTGTCTGGGTTTGTGGGACAAACCTGCCTTGGGGAAATGAGTGGCTCACTTTGGTCATTCTAGAGTTTAGAACCAGGTCCTTTATAAGAGGAGAGGCCATGAGCCCAGGATGAAGGGGGAAACACATGAAGGAACAGCAGTTTGAACTCAGGAGACCAGCCAGTGCCAGCTCACATGGGCTGTGCTTGGGATAGTACTAGAGCAGAGCTAGAACCAAGCATGGCAGTACTAGAGCAGAGCTAGAACCACCTCTTGCCAGAAATGTAGGGACATTGGTGGACAAAGTGACCTTCGAGAACCTACCTGAGTTCATTTCTCCTGTGTGGCTTTTAGACAACTAAGGTTTAAGTGTCTGGTTCAAATGAAAGCCACCTTTCAACCAGGTACCACTCTTCCAACTCAGTCCCAGGGTACCTATTTCCCCCTTCATCCTGGGCTCATGGCCTCTCCTCTTATAAAGGACCTGGTTCTAAACTCTAGAATGACCAAAGTGAGCCACTCATTTCCCCAAGGCAGGTTTGTCCCACAAACCCAGACACAGAAAGACAGATTACACAGGGCAGTGCTGGGGGAGACGCAGCGGTACTTCCTGTCCTGCCCACTGCCATCTGGGTCCTCTTCCTCAATTATGCTACACTCATTTGAATTCACACACCTATGGTATTTAGATGCCAATGGAACACCCATTTCTGACAGGACTAAACAAAAAAAGGCGATACAAAGAAAGGACCATTTTGTATCTGTATATGCAGAATAATTAGGATAGATATACAGCTACTTTCATTTAATTCAATGAGAATTGTACTAATAGTATTTGGACAGGATATTCTGTCTGCATCTTGAACTACGGATAACCACTAAGAAGATAACAATGTACAATGTATTAATTATTGAAACTGTCCTATTAATCAGTTTTTAAACTGTCTTATTGATATTTGTTTCTCAATAAAATAAAATAAAATTTAAAGAACAAAACCAAACTGCTGTTCCTGCTCCTGAGGGGAGTCTGCCGCCCATTCCCAGACCATTTGTGACTGGGTTTAAGGAACTGTCTAACACAGAGACCAGTCTAGAGAGTGCTGCTCCTGCGGAGGAGGCTCAACTCGCCTCGCGGGCTGGAGCGGATGCTTCCAGCCCTGGGAACCCAGCGGGGCGACACATGCTTTCTTTCCCAGGTCTGTTATTTGTTCCCCTGGATCCTGTTTCTCAAGCAGGCCTAGGCGCTACTTCTCTTCCTTGCCCCTGGCTTTCAGGGTAGCCAAGTGGTTGGCTAACTTCCCGAGTCCAGACGCATGGATGCCAGCTAGGGGCAGTGCTCATCTTCCGGACCTCAGCTCCATTTTACTGAACAACGGAGGACCAGGAAGGACAGAACTGCAGCGTGAGTGTCCTCTAGAGGGCTGCTGATAAGGGATGAAAAGATAAGGCCCGGGCTCCGCATGGTGCCTGGGTAACTGTGCCAGGCTCTTTATAATCACGTGTTCATTTTGTCTCCATGACTATCCCATGATACAGCGGGTGACATTTCAGACATTTGACAGATTACAGGACTGAGGCAGAACAAAGCTCTGGGGGAAGGCAGGTGTATCTGGCTCTAGGCCCTCATCTCGGCAGGTGTATCTGGCTGCCGGCAGGGGTGAGACACCTGGAAGGCCTCCAGGGCCAGCAGTGTCTTGTTGATGCGATTGATGGTAGGGTAGGGGTTGAGATCAACCTTGAACCTGCGGGAGAGAAATACCTCGTAAGCCAGTTTCATGGACAGAGAAGGCAGTAAAGGAAATGGAGGCAGGGCTAGATAAAGTCCACGGGGTTGGCTGGGGAATGACAAGCACTGCTTCAGTGCTGCGGGGACCCTTATCCACAAGTAGCTCTCTGGGGATGGCTAGGTCTGATGTTGTATCATTTGGCATCTCTGTTACCTACTGTTTCTACTTAAGCAAGGACTCTTTATTGAGAACCTGCTCTGTACAAAACTTAGCAGCAAACATTTACATATCGCAAGCTTCCTGGGGAATACATTTTCACATCCCTAATGCCTGGCCTAGCAAGATGCCTTCCAGAGAGGAACTCACTCGCAGGAAACTGAAGGGCTGGTAGAGGGAAACAGGTAGAGCTCTCTGTAGAACAAAGATCTGGGGGGCCAGGGAGATGGCTCAAAGGAATAAGCGCTTCGCTGGCAAGCGCAAGGGCCTGATTTCAATCCCCAGTTCTGCAAAAAAAAAAAAAAAAATAACAACAACAAAAAAAAATGTTATTTCCATGTTATATTTACAACTATTATTCAAGTATATATTTCTATCTTACAAATAAAATTCAGACTTT